GAAATTGATTGTGGGGTGGTCTGTGACCTGGATGGAAAACCTACTTTGCAACCAGGATGGTTTTGTCTCCAGATCTGTGTGGGATTTTAACTTAACAAATAGCTGTCCTGCAACTTGAGCTTGTTGGATGGTGTAACTCAATGAATGGTTATGAGATTGTGTGTCATCATTTAGTGATGTCTTGGGAAGTTGTGCTTAATATCAACCACAGGTTTGTTGGATCCAGACTCGACACTACTGGCGCTGTCATAGGGTTTGAATATTGCCAAATGGGGCATTAAACAGTTTGTTTATTCTATGATTGAGACTAAGCCCTTTAAAGAATCGCCAGATGTACTTCTCCCCAGTCATGAGACCAACTCATGCTCCTGTGTTTTATCACATGGTAAACATTTACGACCAAAGTCATTTTGAGCTCTCCTGTCCCACTGGAAAATGACACTATGATGAATCTAATGCTGAACCCCAAATTACTGGCTCATGTTTTCAAAACCACAGGCTGATGTCAGAGACAAACTGATGTACCCTCTATAAGCACCTGGGGATTACTGTGTGCACAAGGTGTGAAAAAGCTTGCGTTAGTACAATGAGTACTTCTTGGAACTTTACAAAACCTGAATTACATCATCTCTAGAGAGCGCCAGCGCTTATTTCCAAGAAGGGTAGTGTCCACTTCCCAATGTAGAGGGTAGATATTTTGATCAATGATTCGGGTTAATCATTTCACAATACATACAGACGGGGGCACGGGTGGCCCAGTCGTCTAAGGCGCCGCGGTTCGCTGTGCAGAGTTGCGTCCCTTGGGCACGCCAGAAACCTATGATTGTCGGTTCGAATCCCGGTTCGCCCCGTTTGTTTCTAGGTTTGTCAGCACCCGTGCTCGTGGGTTTCACCGAAGTGGTAAACGTCTGAGACCTGCATCACTTCGGGCTTTCCTCGCACATTAAGCTGACACCCGCGATATAACTGGAATATCGTTAAAAGCGGCGTTTAACCCAACTCACTCACTCACTCACTACAGAAAGACATAAACTCATGTTGGTGTTTACAGCATGGAATTTACCGAACGGTGAAGTTTGGGTTGGAAGAGTTTGCACCACTTTCGTTTCATTACCGATATGATAAATGTTCATAGCATTGTCTTTTCCTCACTCTATTTACTAAAGGCTTGCTGCATATGAAGTATTGAAACTATATAGTTGAGACATTCAAGCTTTAAATGCTAAGTGTGAAAGTGTCTGTTTAAAAGACCAGGAGTAGTGTACCCTTACAACTCAAATCACTGTGGATATGAGTATAATGTTATTAATTATGATTAAACTACACATTTATGTACCGCAGGTACTAGTATCTGCTCAAATGCGGTTTTATTTGTTCCCCGACCAGTGGATCCGTTTGCATTCCAGTTATCATTCTCAACTCCCTGGGGAGTATACAACACAAGCTGCCCAGAGGCGCTAGAAGGTTTTTACATCCACCTCACATATCGGGTACCCATTTCCTGCTGGGTGAACAGAGGCACATTTGAACTAGGTCTCTTTCCCAGGGTGACACCACACGTGTTTACACTTGTGTTGCGGGTGTATGTAAGTGTTTGTGTTTCCACCATCTGGTTATCCACCATTGGACGAGTGGGTTCTTTTGAGTGCACAGGGTGAATGTACTGTACACTAGGGGTAGTGACAACACTGTAAAGACATGTAAACGTTGTTGGTCCATAGGTTATAGTTCAGTGAAGACAGGATAGTAAGAATATAATTGTAAATTGTCCAGTTGACATATATCTACATGTTCCAGGACATTACAGAAGGCGACACCATATCATTTTACTTTCATTGTGGACCGCCTCCGTGGTCTAGTGGTAGAGCGTCCGCCCGGAGAGCGGAAGGTCCGGTGTTCGATCCCCGGCCGCGTCATACCAAAGATGGTACTTGTTGTTACCCTGTCTGGCGCTCGGCATTAAGGGGCTAAAACAAGGACTGGTCGGCTCGGAGTCAGTATACTGTGTCTGAGTGGGGTATTCATGTTAAACTGCGGCGTGATATCTCAGTGAGCTAGCACTATAAATCGGCATCATTTCGGTCTTTTTTATGATGTGTAAATGGTGTGTTCAAAATTTCATTCTTGTATCCATAGCAGTTTCTGAGTAACATTGTCCCAATTGCAAGTCTCATGGACGCAGCTGTGTTGGAGGCGGACACTTGAATAACCAAACATATTCTTAGTAAGCCGACACAGACCTGAATTGGAGACAGATACTTCTCGACTCGAATATCTCAACATCCGTTCAACTACCGAACGTGTAAATTCTCAGATATATGCATGGATATCTTTAACATGTTCCAGTGTACGAATTACTCCAATTATTGAATAAACCACAATACTGCAATGTTAAGCCCATTTCAGTGAGTGAGTGAGTTTGGTTTTACGCCGCTTTTGGCAATATTCTAGCAATATCACGGCGGGGGATACCAGAAATGGGCTTCACACATTTTACCCATGTCGGAATCGAACCCGGGTCTTCAGCGTGACGAGCGAACGCTGTAACCACTAGACACCCGACCGTCTAAGTCCATGAAATGGTTAGTCAGCAGGGCAGAGCCAGATAACGAATGAAACATTTAGTCAGGAAGGGTAAACGTATGGAAGCCTTTTGGGGCCATTTGTTTACTTTATATTTTTTTCTTGAAATTTCAAGATACTAAGTTTGAAAATTTAAAATTATAACTTGAAATTTCAACCTAGTATTTTGAAATTTCAAGTTCATTATCTTGAAATTTCAGCTTAGTTTGTATCTTGAAATTTCAACATAACATCTTGAAATTTCAACGTAGTATCTTGAAATTTCAACGTAGTATCTTGAAATTTCAACACAGCATCTTGAAATTTCAACATAACATCTTGAAATTTCAAGAAAAAAATATGGCCCTGAAAGGCTTCCGTACTTCCATATAAACGTGGGTCCGACTTTGATAACTATGTAACCGCGTAATCAGCTCCATTGTTATCTGACAAAGCGGGTAATAACAGTTGTGTTGATGGCCCACAGGAACATGCGGTATCAACACTTCTGTTAAGTATGCAAACCTCGTCACTGTATACGTGTTGTAACCCCACACGCGGGTATACAAGTCCGGGGCGATGCCGGGCTAGAGTGGGCCCCCAGCAACCTGTGTTTGTGAGTGAGTGAATATGTTTTTACGCCGCTTTTAGTAATATTCTAGCAATATGGGGAATCGAACCCGGGTGTTCGGCGTGACGAGCGAACGCTTTAACCACTAGGCTACCCCACCGCCCGTGCTTGTGGGAGCTGCTAAATGGATCGGTGATCAGTCTCGGTGACTTCGTTGATTACGTGACATCGTAAATCGTAATACATCTACCCGAGGCAAGGGAGTTACCTGACTATTAACGTCCCGTTTCGAAATCCACCCTATGTTGGCTGGGCTAACGAGTCTATGCACAGTCCAATCAAAATTACGTCACGAAATCGACATCCGATTCGTCAACTGCATGCAGATTTCAGTCGATTGCAGGATTTGTAAAGCATGTGCACCGCCAACTCGGCGTCAACAGATATGTTCCATATCCTTTAATGTTTCCAATCAAGGTGATCACGTGATTTGATGCACTTCGCGAAGTAAGACCCGTTTTGTTTTAACAATATAGATCTTGATCATCGAGCTGATCGTCTTGACTGGGCGCCGCCATTTTGTTTGCAGCAAATGCAAGTGATATGAGAGATGGATTTTGTTTGTCAATGAGAGAGAGACAAGCTCCTCACAGCGATAGTCCGTTCGGGGAGCTCTCTATACTATCGCTGCCACCAGTCAAAAATCCCCACTGTGATAGGTGGTCCCAACCATGCTTGGAGTTGAACTCGCAACCGAATGACCGTTATGTTTACAAACAAGTGACGACTGTCGTGACGCCGAATATACTTACCACTGATAAATTACTTTCTTTATTTGTCAATTTGAATTTCTATTTCATTAAAAGTATCATCTTTTTTTTTATATAGTAAGAATGTAAAGGAAAAGTTGGTTGATTTTCCGTTAGTCTGCAATCTCGAACCAATCTGATTATTAAAACAACAAAGTAAATTCATCTGGAAAACATGGTCAGTCGTAAACCTTTTCAAAATGAAATATGATGGCATTCTCAAAGACATAAACGAAGGTGTCACGCGCTGGGAAGGAGCTTGTAGGAGAGACATAGAAGGGACATAACTCGTAATAATAACTCGGTGACGCTAGGATCAAACCCAGACATTCCATCCAGGGAATTACATCTCCATTTCGAGAAACTACTAATAACCAAGGATTCAGATGAAATCATTCATATTTCATTTTTCAAAAAAAAAACTTTAATAAAACATACTTTCACTGTGATCATTCATTTTCCACATTGTATCCTTTGTGCGGAAATTAAGCCACTGTTATAAGTTGTTAACCGCGAGGAATCACTGCTTCTGGTTTGGAGTTAAAACCTTGCCCGAGCATGAACCGAATTTTTCAGCTCCATTCAAGTACTTTTCATAGAGTTCACTTTGTGTTTTTCCCACTTTAAAAAACAACAACACACGCGATACAATTAAAATATAGATAAAAGAGGCGTGAAAACTCCTAGACAAATCGTGAACATTATCAATGTCGTTATGCTGACACAAATGTGTTGGATCTTGGCACTTTAATAACGTCCGACAAGGAGTCTGTAGATTCTTCCTGGTCACATCAACGCTGTCTTGCAACATTATCTACAATTTACTAATTCCAGTTAAAAATGTTATCCAACTGCCATAATCATGATAATCAAACGATATAAAGGGAGATAACGGCAGTGTGCAATGTATAACAATGTTTTTGCTGCCAAATTGATGCTTGTTTCGAGTTGTGAAAAAACTTCCTGCCAATCGGAAAGTTTACTATAAACTTTACATCGTTGTTGGGTGTACTTAACTTTTCACCCAGGGTTTGTTAAAAAAAAGGGAAAAACGTTGTGTGGTCAGCTTTGAAAAGAGTCCTGCATATCGTGAAAGATGTTGAACGGAACAGGACTGTCTTTCATTCTATGGCTACTGATGAACGCGGCTTCTGCTCGCGGAGACAACAGCCCCGGTGTATCTTGGGAGGTGGAAGATATGCTTGTAAAACTGCAGGATGATCTTGGCATAAAAAGTCTAGGTAAGATGCCTTTGTAGCATCTGCATTTTATTAACTTCTCCATACTCAATTATGCAGTGTATCACATCTCCATTCTGTAATGATAACATATCCTGGACCAATCGCTGCGATAGCTTCGTCAACATCTCCATCTGTCATATCACTAAATTTTGACCCTTGAAGATCCGGGGTAGAAAAGGTCTTTAGAAACCCATGCTTGCAGTAAAAGGCAACCATGTTTGTCGTAAGAGGCGACTAACGGGATCGGGTGGTCAGGCTCGCTGACTTGGTTGATGCTTATCATTGTATCCCAATTGCGTAGATCGATGCTTATGATGTCAATCACTGGATTGTTTGGTCCAGACTCGATTATTTACAGGCCGCCGTAATACAGCTGGAATATTGCGGAGTGCGGCATTAAACAACAAACAGACTTATGACGCTCGTTGCAAAATGTCCACTATATCAAAAATGACCTGAACAACCCAAGAATTAGTTCTGTTACGTTGAAGAAAAATAGATACCTGAGGATACAGTAAAGTACGGTTATAACGAATTCAAAGGGTCTACTAATTCTAGTTCGTTATAACCGTAGTTTGTTATAAGCATATATACAGCATAACTACAGCAAATAGTCGGGACCAAAACATCCGTAAGTTCATTATAAGCGTGTTCGTTATAACCGTAGTTTACTGTATTTGTTTTGGCCTAAACTGGGACCCTTTTCCTTTATCCGTACTTTTACTTTATCCTCATACGTTTATACGCTCAACCGAAATTGTACCACTGACCACTCAGTTCCGAATACTGTCGCTGCCTCACTGCCCACAGTACTGTGTGCACTGTAGTCGACGTTATTTGCCGCGGTGTGACATTCTACATATTTCATCTACAGGAAGCAAGACTCCACTTTACCGCAAAGACATGTCTTCTGATTACGTCGCCTATTGGCTCATAGAGTTCAATAAGGAGGGATATGTCATTCTGTCATCAGGGGAGGCAACCGGTGACTACAGGTGCTTACTAAATATAATTCTTTTGAGAGTCTTTGTTTTTGTCCATCAATGACGCCGAAATATCAACGCTTGGCATGAATGGGCAGAAAATGGTTTAACATACCGTTCGTTCGATATCAGGAATATATCTTACCAAGTTATTGTTGCAATAAACTACACGTATATTAATCTGCTCATTATGTTCAAATAGGTTACAAAACTGTACGTGTATCTTAGTCCCTCAAAACAGATACTCGTGCAATCGGGCCGATTTTATGACATGCTCGTGTGTCGTTATGAGGGTAGTGTAACGCTGCTCCGAGGTGAGGTGAGGTGAAATTGGGTTTAACGTCGCGTCCAAGAATATTGCACTTACTTAGCGACGTGCATGTACGTGTGTGTGTGTGGCTGCTTGTACTAGTCCGAAATGATGCCGATTTATAGTGCTAGCCCACTGAGATATCATGCCGCAGTGTAACATGAATACCCCACTCAGACACACTATACTGACTCCGAGCCGACCAGTCCTTGTTTTAGCCCCTTAATGCCGAGTGCCAGACAGGGCAACAACAAGTACCATCTTTTAACGTCTTTTTGGTATGACGCGGCCGGGGATCCAACCCCGGGCCTTCCGCTCTCCGGGCGGACGCTCTACCTCTAGACCACGGAGGCGGTCTACGCTGCTCCGAACATTAATCCAGTTATATCACGGCGTGTTTATGTTGGAGGAAAACCGAAGTGATGCAGGTCTCACACGTTTACCACTTTAGTGAAACCCACGAGCACGGATATGGTGCTGACAAACCTAGAAACATTATCAGGTCGAACCGGGATTCGAACCCATGATTATAGGTTTCTGGCACGCCTAATGGACACCCTGAGTAATTAAAGGATACTATGAAGTTGAATCGTGTATTTGTGATCAACTGTTTCCCTCGATGCCTCATGCACTATTTCACTCTTGAAAGGCTGCTCCAACAGGGTTATCTCCCCTCCCCGGTGGTCGTGCTGTCTCGACGGGCAGAGAGACAGGGGGCGCCATGTTCCAGGTTCTATGTGTTCACAATAGACGCCGAGATCCTGTGTGAAGACAGCCAAGGGTCTGTAGCTGCCTCAACCATGGACGAGCTGCTGGGTAATCCGGTAAATATACACTGAAGTGTGGCGCCCTACATCTTCCCCAGGCAAGGGAGTTCTATGAAAATGAACATTAATTATAGAATAGAGGAAGTTCGGATTATCTATTCCAAGTAAATGAATTGTGTGAGACCCGATCCATTAGCGAGATAACTGATAATTCGCATCTTCCAGAGGCAAGGGAGTTAATTGGCTATAAAAATCCAGTTCCGACCCTTGCCGAATTCGGCTGGAATTTCTGGGCTCGATCGAAGCGCCACCAGTGGCTATTACGAGTTATGTCCCTTCTATGTCCATCTCACATCACTTCAGATAGCAAAAATTGTATGCCTAAAACACTCTAGCAATGACAGGTATTGATGGGTCTTCAACAACCAAACACTTTACCAACTTGTCTTCAGTTTCGCCTTCAAAGGGAAGAGTATTAATGAGCTCAATCACTGCATCAATAAAATACATCATATTAAGTCTAATGATGAAGGTATTAGCTTCGTTAAGATGTAGTCTAATACATGTGTTCTAAAGCTGTAACGGATTTTATAACTGATCTTGCATTGATCTTGTACTGATATCACACCAATTATATATTACAATATTATTCACACGACTAGACCTTTTCTAGTTTCTTCTTACACCGCCGGATTAAGGGTTAGAATTGATCCACAGGGACCAATGCTGGTCGTATGAAGCGACTTATTCGATCGGATGGTCTGGATGGGTGATCTTAATTGGTTGATGCGGTGCCACCAAAGCCAGACGGCGAGGGTCATTGTTCACAATATCAATCAGTGGACTGTCTGGTCCAGACTAAATTATTTGCATGCTGTCGTCATATAGCTACAATACCAGTCCTGTTGTAAGTGTGTTATCTAAAATTTCGGCGGACAATCCTTGAGCCAAGTACCTACACGTTACATGTTTTTGTATTATTCAGTTGGAATATAATATAGATATGCGAACGTTGTAATCTATTATTCACCATTCCTCAATACCAGAATGAGCTTCATGACGAACAGCTGGCTAGAGAGTACAGGGCTGTTTCCGGTGGACAGCGCTACCTGGCGGAAGAATGGGACAAAAAGCGTAGGGACATCCGGGCCAGTCCCGAGTGGAGGACACTCAGCGTTGTACGCGCAGGACAGGGAGTACAGCAGGTCAGTGTCGTAAATGGAGACCCGAAGTGAAAGATCTGTGATGTATTGTGCGAACTGAAAAGTGGTTTTCAAGCCAGTGGCATTTTTAGCAACTACTACACATTTAATCTAGGTTGATTTTTAGAGGGGAATCCTTTCACATCCATATAGTTTTCATTGAATTAACGCTATTCTCATAGGTCGGATTTATCCAGTTACATTTTCTTACATCCTTTTAGAAAAAAAAATTCTCCAGTGCTCCATTACTCTTAACAACCTGATCTTATATGATTTGTTTTTGTTTAGCCGCGCACACAGCAATATTCCAGCTAAATGAGGGGTTAAAGATCCGGGTTAGAATTGGTCTTAAATCTCCAACGAGCGTAGTGATATTAAGAACTATTGTGATACAAATCATTTTCGCAAATATTCTTCATCCGTATTTCATAAATATTGTCTCAATTCTATGGTAACCCTGGAAAGGTGTTTCTACCAAAACTGAATCGTGATTCACAAAATCACCCGCTATGGAGATAAGTTACATGTAATTAAGTATTCAAGTACTTAATATATGATGAACCGATTTGAGCTTTTATTCATTTTCAGGTTTACGAGGAATATGTGATTATCGCCCGAGAGCAGGCAGTTGCTGTAGGAAACGCCACCACTGTTCGCATACGCGCCTTCAACGAAACTGCGACCTTTGATCCCTTTATCCTGGTGCCCAAATATGAATCGAAACAAACCTCTGACCTACAACAGAATACATGCATCCTAACACAACTCTGTTCAAGTTCAGACCTGACCTTAATCAATCAAGAAAAGATAAAAACAGACGAAAATGGTCTACGATACGTTCCGGTGCGGTTCGGCATCACGCGAATTCCCGTGAGATTTCAGATTGAGGTGTATCTGTCTGACGGATCAGTTGCTGTACGCAACTTCCGGTTGGATGTTTCTCTAACCCGCGCTGCTGTACAACCGATGCACATCTACACTGTTCCCCTAGAGGAGGAGTTCCCCGACTATTGGCAGCCTACCGTGAACGCTTCACTCAACAGGCAGTATCAACAGTGCCAGGTAGGCGACGGGACAGTAGCATGGGCCATGGTTCTGGGTTATTATGACCGCCGTTCCTCAGCTAGACCACGTGAATTTGGTACTGCTTCACAAGGCCTCTTTAGATGTGGACCATTTGGTTTCCATGGCGATAAGAAATGTAAAGCTCCAAAGAAAAATGACGCTTCTTTTGAAAAGTACCTTGACTCATTAAAACGTCGACTGAACGTCATTTGTAACGGCGACGTTGGCGTGACGCGGGACACCATGATGGCCAACATCCAGCCACTGTTTGATCATTTGATGGAGGAGGCCTCGACTGTCGTCTTGACTCACCAGTCGGACAAGAAGTTGTACGGTCTGCTTCCGAACTACTTCCCGAGGGATCCCGATGGTGCCCGAAACCACGCGATCAAGCATTTGATGAGCAGGGACACACTTCCGGTTGTGGTGGATTCCCGGATGTCCAGGTTCTGGGGCCCTGTTGGCCAGCATTACGTTGTAGCCACCAAGCTGAGGCGGCGGTCCCTAAGGTACAGGGTGTGCACAGGGAGGGGTTGTGGACAGTGGCGGACGGACTTTGATGTCGAGTGGTACGAACACAGCGGCTTGGAGTCCAAGGTGGGAGATGGTTGGCAAAAGGCCAACACGTTCTTTGCCGCCATAGCCTCCTACAAATAGAAAAACCAGAGAACATTCACTTTGGTCAATGGAGGGATGGCTTTCCTAGCATTTTGCGAATATGATGTACCGGAATACTTTCACTGGTAAATAAGCAATGAATAAGATACAACTCAAGACATACAAAGTTTGTCATTTTTTGTAAAATTGTTTATCCTCGATCATAGGCCATACCTAAAGGTAAAGTGAAATCGATGTAAAAACTTATTGAACATTTCATATAGTGGTTGTTTGCTTATCAAGCATCTGCAGCATTAAATGAATGACAGTGATGAAGTCGTTTAGGCATAATTCTGGTTAGTTGATTGGTTTGTTGTTTAACGCCGCATTCAGCAATATTCCAGCTATATGACGGCGGTCTGTAAATAATCGAGTCTGGATCAGACAATCCAGTGATTGACATCATGAACATCGATCCACGCAATTGGGATCGATAACATGCCTCAACCAAGTCAGCGAGCCTGACCACCCGATCCCGTTAGTCGCCTCTAACGACAAGCATAGTCATACCTCGATGGCATGAACCAGTGTTCACAAAACCAAACACAGGTTAGCCACGAATCATGCATGACGTAGTTGTACTATTGCTGACTGTGGCACAAAACAACAGCAAATAAACACTGAAAATAGTATGCAGTCTGCAGGACAAGGTATCATATCCGCCCATATAATGTGTGTCCACGTGAGTGAATGCTATTTTAGGTCGTAGTTAGCAATAATAAGGTGCGGTAGCTTAAAGCACTGACTCTCCTTACTGCAGTTTTATCGTGTAAGGTTCAGACAAACCAATGGTCAATAGTTTGTTTGTTTGTTGTTTTAACGCCGCACTCAGCAATATTCCATCTATATGACGGCGGTCTGTAAAAAATCGAGTCTGGACCAGACAATCCAGTGATTGACATGGTGATCATCGATCTACCCAATTGGGATCGATGACATGCATCAACCATGTCAGCGAGCCTGACCACCCGATCCCGTTAGTCGCCTTTCACTACAAGCATAGTCATCTGTTACGGCAAGCATGGATTGCTGAAAACCTATTCTACCCCGGATCTTCACGGGTCAGTGGTGAATAGTAGGAACATCATAATAAGATAACAGTTCTCCATCGTTTCTCTCAATAGAGATCTTTTCACCTTTTAACATTCAGTGTGACCATTAGACTGACATTTAGTCACAGAAATAAAGTTATCTTATTTAATACATATTACAGAATAATTGAGTTTGTTTGTTTGTTTGTTGTTTAACGTCGCACTCAACAATATTCCAGCTATATGACGGCGGTCTGTAGATAATCGAGTCTGGACCAGACAATCCAGTGATTGACATGATGATCATCGATCTACGCAATCAGGATACAATGACATGCATCAACCAAGTCAGCAAACCTGACCGTCCGATCCCATGAGACAAGAATCGACAATCGCCTCTTACGACAAGAATGGTTGCTTTTTACGGCAAGCATGGGTTGCTGAAGACCTACCCCACCCCGGACCTTCGCAGGAAATGAAAATGAATTCTTCGCAACATACATTATTTTAGAAATGAAATCAATATTGTTTACGTATATGTATGTATAAACGAAAAAACATGGTATATCTATTCCTTACATACAGCTTAGGAAAGATTGACACACATGGACTTCCTTCCCTTTGAACTTGTGTCAGTGTAAAGGGATTAATTAGTCGGAAAGGGTATTGGTATGACTTACTGGCCAGAATAATAACGAGCGTCGCCAATAAAAGGTAGGAACGGGTTGGGAAGCGTTCTGGAACTAACGGATTCGTCCGCCAAGCCCAAATCGCTGACGTCAACAATGGAGCTACGTCACGGCCTTGTGTGTCCCCCCAAAACTCTTGACATCATAGAACGATTACGTCAACAATCAGCTGACGTCAGAGACTATCACATCGTCAATAGCGTAGACGGCTGGAGGGCCTGTTGCTTTCGGGGGCAGCTTTTGATACTGCAAAGACAAGCACTGATTAGATGAGGACTGGTGTTCAGCGCAGGTAAGCCGCTCCTTTTATTCTTTGAAAAGAAAAAGACTTTAATGTCCAATCTAAGAAAGGGCAACACACCACAATGTGACTTTGTGCACAAGGGAATGGAGGACTGTAGTATTTCAAGTGATGAATCGAGTTTGTATCTGCGTTAGTTTTGTCATCTGAATGTTTGCAGAGTCGGAAACGATGTTGTAGTTGGACTGAAGGGGACGTTACGCTGAGTAGTGTGTACAAACATGCAAGTCCCTGGGAGTATTTTTTATTCTCTTTGGATAAGTTAGTCTCGTGAATGTGTTACGCACGCTCGTGTGCTCACTACGCGACGGCATATAGAATGACTGTTTTCTTAAATTTTGTAATGGTAAGTGATTATACCGTCCCAGACCATTGGATTGTGTTTGCATGGAGGCGATTGTTTATTGTGAATTTTGCAGAACTGAGACACATATATAGACCGAAAGTTGCCCAGAGACTTCTCTTTACATTTGAGTCGCCGTCAGGGAATTAATTTGACAGTGTCGCAGAGTTTCGTCATCTTCCGTACCTGCTATGTGCAAATGGATGGACACTTCCTAATGTTTTCTGTGTTTAAAAAAAGGAAGCAGATAGACCCAGATGTAAATAAATCCGCTGAATCTAATGGGCCGAGTAGAATTAGTTTTGTACACTTTCAGGGTATAATCACCTGGCAGTCTCACAAAGTCTTATTTTAGGCGTATTTTTTCCTTTAAAAAATGTAGATGTCATACTCATAACAACGTGCTTCGGGAGCTTCATCTCTATTACAAGGGGTTGACTGGAAGTGTGTATTGTAGCTTGCCTCTTCTTTCATTGCCTCTGTACAAAACACTGTGAAGGGAGACCGAGTGCGAGTCGGAAGGGTATTGGTATGACTTACTGGCCAGAATAATAACGAGCGTCGCCAATAAAAGGTAGGAACGGGTTGGGAAGCGTTCTGGAACTAACGGATTCGGCCGCCAAGCCCAAATCGCTGACGTCAACAATGGAGCTACGTCACGGCCTTGTGTGTCCCCCAAAACTCTTGACATCATAGAACGATTACGTCAACAATCAGCTGACGTCAGAGACTATCACATCGTCAATAGCGTAGACGGCTGGAGGGCCTGTTGCTTTGGGGGGCAGCTTTTGATACTGCAAAGACAAGCACTGATTAGATGAGGACTGGTGTTCAGCGCAGGTAAGCCGCTGCTTTTTTTCTTTGATAAGAAAAAGACTTTAATGTCCAATCTAAGAAAGGGCAACACACCACAATGTGACTTTGTGCACAAGGGAATGGAGGACTGTAGTATTTCAAGTGATGAATCGAGTTTGTATCTGCGTTAGTTTTGTCATCTGAATGTTTGCAGAGTCGGAAACGATGTTGTAGTTGGACTATGCAAGTCCCTGGGAGTATTTTTTATTCTCTTTGGATAAGTTAGTCTCGTGAATGTGTTACGCACGCTCGTGTGCTCACTACGCGACGGCATATAGAATGACTGTTTTCTTAAATTTTGTAATGGTAAGTGATTATACCGTCCCAGACCATTGGATTGTGTTTGCATGGAGGCGATTGTATATTATGAATTTTGCAGAACTGAGACACATGTATAGACCGAAAGTTGCCCAGAGACTTCTCTTTACATTTGAGTCGCCGTCAGGGAATTAATTTGACAGTGTCGCAGAGTTTCGTCATCTTCCGTACCTGCTATGTGCAAATGGATGGACACTTCCTAATGTTTTCTGTGTTTAAAAAAGGAAGCAGATAGAGCCAGATGTAAATAAATCCGCTGAATCTAATGGGCCGAGTAGAATTAGTTTTGTACACTTTCAGGGTATAATCACCTGGCAGTCTCACAAAGTCTTATTTTAGGCGTATTTTTTCCTTTAAAAAATGTAGATGTCATACTCATAACAACGTGCTTCGGGAGCTTCATCTCTATTACAAGGGGTTGACTGGAAGTGTGTATTGTAGCTTGACTGAAGGGGACGTTACGCTGAGTAGTGTGTACAAACATGCAAGTGCTGGGGAGTATTTTTTATTCTCTTTGGATAAGTTAGTCTCGTGAATGTGTTACGCACGCTCGTGTGCTCACTACGCGACGGCATATAGAATGACTGTTTTCTTAAATTTTGTAATGGTAAGTGATTATACTGTCCCAGACCATTGGATTGTGTTTGTATGGAGGCGATTGTAAATTGTGAATTTTGCAGAACTGAGACACATGTATAGACCGAAAGTTACCCAGAGACTTCTCTTTACATTTGAGTCGCCGTCAGGGAATTAATTTGACAGTGTCGCAGAGTTTCGCCATCTTCCGTACCTGCCATGTGCAAATGGATGGACACTTCTTAATGTTTTCTGTGTTTAAAAAAGGAAACAGATAGAGCCAGATGTTAATAAATCCGCTGAATCTAATGGGCCGAGTAGAATTAGTTTTGTACACTTTCAGGGTATAATCACCTGGCAGTCTCACAAAGTCTTATTTTAGGCGTATTTCTTCCTCTAAAAAATGTAGATGTCATACTCATAACAACGTGCTTCCGGAGCTTCATCTCTATTACAAGGGTTGACTGGAAGTGTGTATTGTAGCTTGCCTCTTCTTTCATTGCCTCTGTACAAAACACTGTGAAGGGAGACCGAGTGCGAGTCGGAAGGGTATTGGTATGACTTACTGGCCAGAATAATAACGAGCGTCGTCAATAAAAGGTAGGAACGGGTTGGGAAGCGTTCTGGAACTAACGGATTCGGCCGCCAAGCCAAAATCGCTGACGTCAACAAAGGAGCTACGTCACGGCCTTGTGTGTCCCCCCAAAACTCTTGACATCATAGAACGATTACGTCAACAATCAGCTGACGTCAGAGACTATCACATCGTCAATAGCGTAGACGGCTGGAGGGCCTGTTGCTTTCGGGGGCAGCTTTTGATACTGCAAAGACAAGCACTGATTAGATGAGGACTGGTGTTCAGCGCAGGTAAGCCGCTGCTTTTATTCTTTGAAAAGAAAAAGACTTTAATGTCCAATCTAAGAAAGGGCAACACACCACAATGTGACTTTGTGCACAAGGGAATGGAGGACTGTAGTATTTCAAGTGATGAATCGAGTTTGTAT